TTTTTTTTAAAATAATTGGGGCTCTCTTGGAGTGGGGGCCTATTCAAATGTTTCAAAACACTTCCCTCAGATCCGGCTCTGAACGTTCCATCTCCATTGATATTCCTTTACTCATCAGATAAATCGAAATGTAGTAGCGGAAGTCACGGGGATTCCCGAGGTATTCAAGTTCTGTATCTTTCTACGAAGATACGCCAGTTCAGTTCAAGAAATAATCAGATGGCAATGTACCAATGAAGTCATTATGTGACACATCAATGATTTTCAGCTGGGGGGAATCCGAACCAACCACCATTGTAGTGATGTAACATGCCATGAAACTTGTTAGAGCGCAGAACAAGAACATGTAGCTCCTCCAAAAAAATCAATCGAAATGGAAATAAGTCGCTGATTTTGTTGCTTCCCACGTTTAGAACTTCCAAAGCAGAACTATTAGTAAGAGATATAGGAAGTTCTCCCTCCAATCGGTTGCGACTCACGTCAATGGACTTTAACGCCTTGGCATGCATAAACATATCAGGAAGACTTCCGGTAAGGCTATTGTTACAAAGATTTAGATCAGTAAGAGAACTGATGTGATCTCCTAAACACCGAGGAATAGAGCCGTGGAAGTTGTTGTTGGATAGATCTAGAATGGTAGGAGAGGTAAATCCACAGATTGATCGAGGTATCTCTCCGGTAAAGTTGTTGTTAGAGCCAAACAAGTAGTTGATAAGTGTAGATGGTATGAAGAGTGGTCCTTGGAAAGCATTTGAGCTTAGATCTAACATATTGATCTGACTTCTAGGTAAAGCTTTTAAGGATCCATCGAAACCGGTGAACGAGTTGGTAGAAAGATCCACACTAACCAACTCTTGTAGTTTCCACAACCATTCTGGTACTTGACCTTTGATGTTGTTGTTGGAAAGGTCTAGTGACTGTAGATTTCTTTGGTTTCTGATGAACTCAGGGAACTCAGTGATGTTGCAGCCTGACAAGTACAAATATAGCAAATCCGAATCAGAAATGATGTTTCTTGTTGAAAGAGGGATGCCTAGACCTTCTAGGTGTTTGAGAGAAGAGAAGACGTTTAAGTCAATTGGACTGACTCTGAAATTGTTGTTGCTGATAAACAGATTTTGTAAATTAGGTAACAAAGAGATATTCTCAATCCCAAGGAGATCATTGAGTTGGTTATCATTTAAGAAAATGTCAATCAATGAAGACATCTTGAATAGAGAAGTAGGAATGACTCCTGTAAAAAAATTATTACCGGCAAGAAAAGTCTCTAATTTGGAGAGCTGACTAATGTTAGGTGGAAGAAAACCTATGAACTTATTGAAAGCGAGATCGAGATAACGTAGTTGTGTCAAATTGAGTAGTGCGGATGGAAAGTTTCCGCTGAATTTGTTACCGGAGACGCTAAAGAATGTCAATTGGTTTAGATTGCCAATTGAAGATGGGATTTCACCAGTGAAATTACATGCTGAAAGTGTCAAAGAAACCAAATTTTTGAGGTTGCTTATGGAGTCAGGTATGGTACCTGAGAAGGATGTTTGGAGAAGGCTTAAGATTTGCATAGAGTTATTTCGAGGAAAAACAGGAAGTTTGCCTCTCAAGTTTGGATTGTAGCCTAATCTAATAGACTGTAAGTTTGGTATAAGAAGAACATTGCTTGGGAATTCTCCAAATAAGTTGCATTCTTCTAGACGTAGTGATCTTAGAGACCACATGTATGAAAACTCGCGAGGGATCTCTGAAGAAATGTTTTACATAGCTCAAATCTAGGGTTCTAAGGTTCCTGAAGTTTCGAGCAAGTAAAGGGAGAAACAAAGGGTTTTTAATGGACAACAAGTTTGGAGAAAATGAAAAAAAAGAAGAAAGATCAAGAGACACCAAATTGGTTAGTTGAAGAAACTCTATTGAAATTTGACCTTTCAATGAAGACTCAGAGAGGTTTAGTTTTTCTAACCTCATGAGTTTATTCAACTTGGGAGGGATTGGAGAAAGAGCAAAGTTGTTGTAAGCAAGGTTCAGAACTTGGAGATGTTGCAGTCTAAAGAGACTAGAATTGTGTTCGAGCCGGCCATGAAGACAGCTGCTACTAAGGTCTAGCCCGATCACCTTGCCCGAGTCGGTATCACACTTGACACCTTCCCAATTACAACAGTCACTAATGTTTGACCATGATCTCGTCTTCAGGTTAACAAAATCACACGGCTTCTGAATCTTAACTCATTCTTCAACTCCAAAAGGACATCCCTTTGGTCAGGAAGACACAAATCTTGTGCAAGAGAAGCAAAAATACTGAAAAATATGAAAATGGACAAGAGAAGAGCATTGTTAAGAAGGAAGCTTAATGACGAGCCTATCATACTTTTTTTTTTTTTTTTCTGTTGACAGCTTAATTAGTGTATGTCTTTCTGTATAAATATGTTTTGTCACGGCACAAAGAGTACTTTAAATTATATTTGCCACAACAAACACGAACCTTCCGCATAAATTAGTATAAAAGATGTTTCTAGAAAAGCTTTCTCTTATGACTAATTTAATATTTTTGTAAAAGAACGTTTTACATGAGAGTTTTTTCATTGAGCACTCTATTTTTTTTTTTTAAATATTTCAAATAGATATCGAAAGAATATTTGTTAAGTTTGCAAACCGTAGTCTCCTTTTATAGACCTCTGTGAATACCGTTACGTTGGAGGATGTGAGATGTGAAACCGCTCCACGGACAGTGGCGTTCGAGACATTATATAAAGTTTTTCATAAAAGTTAAGGAATGGTGAGATAGGTCAAAAAACTCCAGCTAGCCCGGACTTAAAAACCGGTCGACAAAATGCAAGTCTAAAAAAAAGGTTTATGGATCCAGTACTGGCCAATTTGACCCTAAAAACCTTATAAGTTTTGGGTTTATCCACTTGTAATATTCTTTTGGTTAATTTTATTTTGAAACTTTGGAGTAAATACCTATTGGTTCTAACAAAGAAGTGAAATTTTTTATGTTCTTTAAAGTTTTGTTGCTTAATATTATCTGCCATGGTTTAAAAAGATAGAAACACACATTCTTGAACTATCAAGAAACGAAACACTTTCTAGAGAAATCAGATTAATCTTAACCTATTTCTCTATCCACAACTTATCGTGATTTATCAATTTTGGACAAGAATTTTTTTTTC